CAAGCGAAACAGACCAATGCACTGCAAAATTCAGTACACTTTTCACAGGGAGAACACAACTTTTTGGGCATTTTCTTTGATGACATGTGTGCAGGAACGCATTTTCTCAGTGTGACACACTTCTGAAATCCGCTGAGTGTGACATTTCAGTATATATTCACGGACGATCACACAAGTGGTATGTTTGGCCTCTTCGGGATTGCCTTCGTGGAACCACCAGCTGCTCACCAGCTGCTACCATCGCAAACAGAACATGAAATCAACGCCCCCCCCAACCTCTCCTGGCAACGTCCGAGAATGAGAACATCGTTCACAGCAATGAAAGCTCACTTCGTCATTTGATTCTGGGCGGTGTATGTTAAATCTGGCACGACCCCTGGTCCATTTCGGTCGGCAGCGCACCCGGGAGGTCTCCCAGGAGGTCTCCCGGGAAAGAGGGTCTCTCGGTCTTCGACCCAGGCTTTGCACTATGCCTGTGCGGGTGGTTCTGCCCCCAGCACCCTCTTCTTGCTGCAACAGCGGGCTATGGTGACTTGGCTGGAGAAGTTCCAGACACGTTTCTTTGTATTGCAATTCATGAGACATAGGGAGACCCACAAAATTGAGCCCATTGGTGCTCTTCCGAGTCCAGCTATTTGTTTGCAAGAGTCCATCCATGTGAAGATCGGTTCGTCTGTTCTTATTCTCTCCGACAGGTCGATCGGACAGACGTGACCTTGACCACTCCTTTGATGCTCGCGCAGGGGCCTTAAGTAGCCTCATGTTCTTCCCAAGACCTCGCAGGTCTTGGGGGTCGTCTGCCACAGACCTCGCAGGTGTCGCTACGGCTACGCCGGAGTTTTGAAGGTGCTTCTGGATGCCCAGGCACGAGTTTCGACAAGTGCCGAACCACGGCCAGTCAGAAGATGGGTAAGAAGTGTCTACTAACGCCTGTAGAATGCTATCTTGTTGTTCCGTATGGACAAAGATACCTGAATCTTGCGATACATCAGTGATGGTTCTCCACCTGCACTGTGTTTCTTCAGGCAAATCCTGGTATCGCAGACAGCCAAGGGCAATCTCCGCTGCACCAGGACCAGAGAGACATGTTTTTTTCCGATCCATCATGAATCATGCGTTTTTGTTTGGCAGGGGAAGGTTTGGTTAGATTTGTGGGTGACTTCACTGAATCCAAATAGATCCAAATAGCATAACCAGTTCGAGCCTGTTTGCATCATTTTCATTTGTATTCATTTCTGCAATCCTTTGATTCTGCAGTGGGTCCAGGCTGCTGACTTGGGACAGTTGGACTGTTTACACCTTTTGCTTCTCTGCGGGGCACAGGCGCGCCGCACAGACACGGTTTTAGACCACGAACACCGAAAATGGGCTTTGAAGGGTGAGGCTCTAAAGGACGCATTCTTCGTAAAATGGAACACCGTCGGAAAACCGGCTGCAGATTCACGGTGGATGCACTAGATTTACAGACGGCCGATTCACGGTGTCCGCCTAGGTCAGCTCCGGTGTTCGATTTGAATCAGAAACGCACCGATCGAATCCTATCGAGGCTCATCAACAAAATCATCAAGGTGAGACAGCTCTCGACATTGCGCAGAGGAAGAGGCAGGGTCAAAACCTGGAGCCCTGGCTCACCATGTAGCTTGACCTTGCAGGTAGGTCAACCAAGGCATCCTGGTTTTGACCCAGAGCCATGTCGGTCTGATAATTTCTTCCCGTTTGTGGAGATGGAGGATGCCTCCAAGTTGCTGGCGCTGATTCACAGACACATTGAGACGAACATGTTGAGCTTGTGTCTCTGAAGTCAATGAAGACACGGCCTGGCACCAAGGCACTTGCATTGCATGACTTTGCTGCGGCGACATATCCATTTGGCCGAAGGGCAAAGGCAGGGGCCTTTGCGGTGGGCATGGTGCAAGACCAGCCAGTGGTACAAGCTGATACAGAGGATGAGTCATGATTTCTTAGAACCTTAGGGATGATGAGACCAACATAGCTCACCCACAAAGCACTCCAAAGGAACACGCCCAACGAGACACAGTCATGTTTCAAGATGATCTTGGGTTTAAGGAAGTTGGTTTTTGGGTTTTATCATCCATAATCCATAGACTTGTGAGCCATAGCCATAGTGCCATTTCACTCCACTGCAGTGCTCAGGATATCTGCTGTCAACCAGCAAAGCTGCTCGACAGGAATAGGGTAGGCAATGGATGGCTATGGTTCCGCAGAGGATGTTTGATTCTCTTGCTGCAGTCTCCTTGAAAAGACTACGAAGGGACTAGAAACTAAACCAAAATCGTTTGGTTTTGGCGAGCAAAGCTGAGGAATGCTGCAATTTTCGGAGGCAGTGCCTGAGAAAGAGGAGATGCACAAGGCAGGGTCGTCCTTCCATTCTTCAGAACTTGATTGGGGAGGTCTAAACTCTAAACTGCACTTGAGAAATTTGAGGTTCCTTGACAAGAAACATCCAGTCTGGAAGCCAGATTTGACCCTTTCAGGAGGCGTGGATGCCAATGCCCGAGGCAGAGTTGCAGCCCCAGGATAGGGTTTTGCTCCTGCTAATGCCATTTGACATGAAAAGAGATTTGGGTATGGATTTTTGGACAGTTGCACCGATCACCGATCTCCAACTTTTTCAATCCTGGGAGATTGGTGGAGTCTCCCGAGGTCTGCTCCCTGGGTCTCGGCTTACCAGGAGGTTGCTGCCAACGATTTGATTGGCTTTGACAGGTGCCTTCCTTTGCTTCGGCAACTGTTCTGTTCACGGAACCGCAGGAGGTCGAGGTCGCTTCGCTTCGCAGACGAGACGAGACCGGGCGGCGGATTGGCAGGTATGCGGAGACGGAGGCCGTTTCCGCGGTGTCGGACTGGGCGGAAGCGACTTCGTGAAGATCGCCGCCTGCTTGGGCGCCCCACCATTTTCAAGACGTTCAGAAGCTCCCAGTAATCCCAAGAGTACTACTGCCAATTGTCATCATGTCGGCATGAAGCTTTTTGTGCAGGTTCCGTCGACAGATTTGATGGTCCTCATGAGCATGGTTTTCACATCGGTGAAGGGTGCCAGTGGATGTCCGGGTCTTCATTTCAGTAAGCATGTGACTCCAAATTCTTATATTTGTCAAGTGCTTGGTCAAGTGTCATTTCTTAATGGTGTCTTGAGGGATCTTGAGTACAAGATGAGGATCTGATTTCTGTGGCCGGGGTTTGGATGGAAGTCCTGTTGCCACTTACCAGGGAAGCACAGTTGAGGTGACCTAGTGTTTGATGTCTTTCGCACTATAAGCATCGTACAAGATCTTAAGTATCTCCGGCAGATCCAGCTCTTGCTTTGGTTTTGAGTAGAACGCCCTCCACGGAAATATCATGAAACGGGACCAGCGGATGTTTTCCCTGAACGTTTGAGAACAACCACAGACTTTGCGGATTGTCGCTATACTGCCAGGTTAGATCCAGCAGCAGCGACAACTCGGAGCTTTCTGCATGTTTGACGTGTCATATAACTCACTCCATGTTGTCCAGTTCCGATGCAACCCATGCACCATACAACAGGCTACTAGCAAAGAACAAATATGGGCCTCATTTTGGTAAACCACCCAGAGTAGATCAGAATTCTTAACTAACTACATGCTTATTTCTTCCCCCGTCCTAAATGCTCGAGCGAGCCGTGAATCTTGTCGCGTGGCTCAGTTTTGAGACAGCCAGGACAACTACACAGAAGGAACAGATACCTCGCCGCGACACTACAGGCAGCCCTACAGGCGGCCCTGATTGACATCGTCGCCCAGTCTTTTTCCTCTGAATTGATCGTCGACTTGATCCCGTTGTCTTTCTAAAGCCTGCACCAAAAGGAAACACAAGCACAAATCCACGACGTCCGGGCCTCCCATGCAACAGTTCATTTACAGTAAAACAAACATCCGTGAGGTCTGATGTGGGTCTTCTGAGCACATTGCGCCGCAGGACAGCAAGGGTTTGTTCCTTTTGACGAGTCTGAAAGACTTGAAAGAATTCAGGCTTTCAGTTGTTGAGACACACCTCCTGGGTCATAATGGACTAAAACGATCTAAATTCCGCTTACACAGAGGATTCATTTACTCCACTCCACCACCTAAATCCTCTCTGTGTCAGAGGCTTTTCCCGGTTCAAGCTGACCTCGGACTTCCGAACCAGTCGGGATCCTCGGACTGCCCGGGAACCCCGCTGCGTGTGCTGCCTGCCCGGGAACCCCCGCTGCGTGGATGGCCGGGGCCCAACGCGTGGAACGGCGTCCGCCATCAGGTTTCGTTTCAACAAGGCCACGCAGCGTTGGGAGCTTCCATAAGGCGGGTGTCGGTGCAAAGATGGTGCAGACAGCGGTGGGATGAGAGATACCGGTAGGTTTGGATTGGAGCAGATTTGGAGTAAACAGATGAAGGATGAAGGGATGAAGGGGTGGAACTGAAAGGGCCGTTTGCTTTTTATCCACCGGAATGTGGCAGCACCAGGGTCACCACCATTCAGTTTGAGACAAGATAGACAAGATGAGACAAGTAAGCCAACGGGGTCAAACCACACCAGGAGGACGCTGATGGCGAGGCTGAAGGGCGCCCATGGGCCGGACCAGCCGACCAGCCTGGGTGGCCAAAAGGCTGCAATCCGTTTTAAGATCGCTTGGACATAACAGCTCTGGCCCTGCGACAATTAGTTTGCAAGCCACTGGGGTTTTGAGGTGAACACTGTGTGACTATCGTGAATATCTAGGGGTCCATTGAATCCCACTTCAGCCATATGAGGTACAGGTGCCAGAGTCATTTCACCGCATTCCAGCACTCTGCTGGCGAGGTACCATACTTGTGTGTTCCTTGTTCCTCGCCCAAACGAAGGCATGATCGAGACTTTGATGAACCACCCGCATTCCTTGAAGATCCTTGAAGCTGTTCATGAGATTTCGGGCGAGAGAAGTTCACACATGCAACTATGTACAAAGGTCTGCGGACCCAACGAAGCAGCTCGAGCTTCTGCATGGCGCTGTGCACTGCAAAGCAGCCAGCACAAGCCTTCAAAGTACTAGCACGCGCAAGAACTCACACAAAGGCTCTGGCAAAAGGATGTGGTCGGCTGCTTGTTGCAGACACTTGCATCGAATGAAGCTTCTTTGAACCCTGCTTTTCGCACGGTCTATGGTCCTCCTTTTCGCACGGATCCCTGCTCATTTCGTTTGTGGTGCTTCTCGATTGGGCAAAGACCCGAGTGGATGGAACCCCGTCGAGTCTCCAAGGTGTGGACGAGGGTGCAGAGCCCATCAGAAGCCTCACTCCAGAAACTCACTTTTTGCCACAGTCTCGCTCTCCCTCTCCCTCTCCCTCCCAGCACCCTCACTTTTTGCAAAAGACATGTTTTTAAAGGTGTGAATTTGAGGTAGGATCTCATTCTGTTGAGCCAGGTTGTCACACTATGTTGTGTCTGCCGCCGTTTGGCTCCTAGGGCCCTTGAGCTATACCGTGCTCGCTTTCGCAGTGAAAAGAGCGTGTGGACAGTACGATTCCGGTTGCTACCGACATTGGTAGCGGAGCAGGTGACGGCCTGACTCCGGCACGTACTGATCCAGGTCATTGGAATCGTAGAACATCAAGCCTGAGCTTGCATCCCTTGCGTGCTTTCGCTTGCCTCCTCTGATCCCGTTGGGGACAGAGCCCGGAATAGATTGCTCGCCCGAGCAATCTTCGTCGGAATCGTCGAACATGTCCATTGCTGGACTCAAGTTCCATTCGGGTAGCACTGGTGATAGGATAGGCAACCCCCTGGAAACCAAGAGTGGGTCTTACATCTATTGGGGAGATCCTGCATCATTTCATGACTGGAAATTTCGAACCGAACTCCGCATCAAGCTGTACGACCAAGCCCAAACGCAACCAGCAAAGAAGCAGGATCCCGTGACTGGACCTGCCGACGAAGGGGAGCCTTGGCCACCAGAGTCAGACGAAGGATTCGCATTCCCTTCGCCTGGACACTATCCCGAGGAGTTTGAGCCCGAGCCGCGTGAGACTGCCGGTACTCCCAAGTCGAAGGTTGATGCAACATCACCGAAGGCTTCGTCCGTTAAGTCAGACAAGTCGAGTATCATCGATCGCAGTGTCCTAGTGAACAAGATCGTAGAAGGTTTGAGAGGTGATGCCTTTTTGCTTGCCAGAGACTTAGGTCTAGAGACACTTGCACGTCCAGGGGGACTGGAGCGTCTCATCGAGGTGATACGTAACCATGTGTTTCCTCGAGCCTTGGAGGAGAGTAAGGAGCTTTTTCGCGCAGGACAGAAGCATGGAGGACCACTGTCGAGACAGCCTACAGAGAGCATGTTGTCGTACACTCAGCGTCGACGACGTTGGTGGACCTTGTTGGTTGAGCTTGACCCCACAATGATGATCTCAGAAGCTTTCCGCACAGAGCTATTGTTGGAGATGTCAGGTATCTCCAGGCAGGAGATCCTTGTGGTGAAGGCTTGCCGCAAGAACGATGACTTCGAAGGTACTGCACGAGTCTTGGTTGACAACTACAGTGGAATCCATCTTCGTGAAGGGTCCCGATCCTGGACAGGACGGGGAATTCAGCCTCAGGTAGGCAAAGGCAAAGGGTACCAGAAGGGGTACCAAGGTAAAGGCAAGGGTAGCCAATACCCTCGTGCTGGTTACAATGCCGTCTATCCCGATTGGGAAGACAATTTCGATTGGAGAGATGAGGACTTGCAGGAGCATCATCATGAAGAAGATTCTTTCGTAGGCATGCTCGGAGGGGTTGAAGAGTCTGAAGAACATGAACATGCTAGCCATCCTGAATACGAAGATTTTGAGTATCATGATGATGTTGATGAATATGAAGCAATTGCCTTGAATGCAGTAGTTGATTGCGAAGATGCCGAAGAACGTTCCTCAGGTGATGCTATCCAATTGCAGCTTGCCGCATTCGTCGCTTTCGGGAAGGCAAAAGGCAAAGGCAAGGATAAATTCAAGGGGAAAGGTAAAGGCAAAGGTAAGATAGTGAAGTCTCACCTTAGCATCGAGCAACGTCGACAGAAACTGTCCGAGATCAAGGCGAAATCCAAGTGTCTTCGTTGTGGTGGTTTAGGTCACTGGGCCGGAGACCCCCAATGTAAGATGCCCAATGCCCCGAAGACTGGATCAGCCCCGAAACCTGCTGCACACATTGCCCACATGAGTGATTCATCCGAGGACGAAGGGATTTTCCTAGATGCAGCGTCTCCAAAGAATAGCATTGCTCACATGGCCGTGAAGGCCAGCTCAGGAGTCCGTCCGGAGGCACCAGTGAGTCCTAACGACCTCGTAAGGCCTGAGGGGAGCGATAGGAAGTTCTTAGCTGGACAGTTCAGGGGGAAGACATTTTGGCAGATCCTTCATGAACATCCCGACTACCATCAATGGGCCATCAAGAATGGCAAGAGTCCAATCGCTTCGGCTTTCGTCACGTGGGTTGATCAGCATTTTGAGTACAGGGGAGCTTCAGTTTTCAGGAAGGTTGGTGGTGCTTCTTCTTCATCGTCGTTGCAGCCAATCCCAAAAGGGTCCTCAAGGAAGAAACCACCATATCCACCGAAAGAGAAATGCAAGAATTGTTCCGAGTTCACCAAACAAGGGAGCACAGCATACACCATCAAGAAGACATGCCTTGTCTGTGGGAACTCCACCACCGAGCGTAGAGAGCAGGCCCCGAAGTTTGCATATGACGATTGCCCGCACTCGGACACCGATTTTCGAGGTTCTTCCAGGTCTGTTCACCGTGTGTTTTGCAAGCTTTGTTGTTCGTTTTTGGATGAGACTCCGATGGAGCTCCAAAAGACTAGAAAGGCAGCCTCTGAGAAAGTCGTCAACGCACCGCTCGATAGGATCCCAATGATTGAACGTTTGGTTGAAGAGGAACCCGAAGAAGGACACACCCCCGAGATGCTTGAGAAGATTTTGACTGAATTTGCCGCCCAAGTCGCGTTGGCAGCCGAAACCGAGGCAGTGACTTCGATCAGGCTGCACGAGCTCCTCCACCAGTCCATCGAAGAGAGCAAAGGAGACTCGTTCACCATGGTTGATTACACCGAAGATCCAGACCCATTTGCAGGGATCGGCATTTGTTTTCATGGGGAGGAACCTACCCAGATGACAGATGGTTTGGCGCACATATTTCACGAAGCCAGGGACATGTACAGCCCAGACGACGGGAACATCTACGTCGTTCTCGACGAGGGATGTAATTCCACCTGCCATTCAAAGCACTGGGGAGACGTCGTGGAAGCCAAACTGAAGAAGCTGGGGTATGATTTCCCTTTCTCAACCACAACGTCGAAGAACTTTGCCGGACTAGGTGAAAAAGGGACCACTACAGAAGGATCCCGCACATTACCCTTTTCGTTGCACTTCGACGAGGGAGATCCAGTGCATGGTGTTCTTGAATCCCACCAGCTGTCGAAAGGTCGATCTCCGCTGCTTTTGTCTCTTCATGCTCAGGCACACTTGGGGCTAGTAAAGGACCTCAAGAATGGTATCATTAGCATCAATGGAAAACGCCTCAAAGTGTTCAGATGCATACACACCGGTTTGATGATGTTGGCAATTACCCCTCAACAATTGGTCCAAAGTCTCGAAGCCACCATGCCCCAAAAGATTCCAAAGTGTCATCGCAAATTTCGTGTCGCCCTCACAGCCTTCGATACTCCGATGGAGAGATTGGATACGGCAGAGCGAGGGTACCAAGCCCAGACTGCCGAAGGTATCCATCGTGCGCTTGGCAACATCATTGGCAATTTGAAGAGCCGTGAGTTTTTGCTGGTCACAGGAGGTGACCGGTTTGAAGACAGGTTGGCAGAGCATGTTGGCAGTGGTATCCCCGTGAAGTACATCAACGCCAAGTCGCTGTGGGATCCCGACCAAGATCCTTCGTTGCGTGGACACGTGGGAAGGCATCCGGCCATTTTGAATGGTCTTAGGAGGGATCAGAGAGGTCTTGACCGCATCTTTCGTGAGGTGGACGACTTTGTGGAGCGCCATGACAAGGGAGTTTTGGATGTGCGCTGCAAGTCAGGGCGTCATCGTTCTGTGGGCGGAAGCATGTTGATCCACAGGCATCTTGCTTCGAAGGGCTTCACGTGTGTTGTGATTCATTCTCACTCGCCTGAATGGCGTGAGATGTCGTGTGGAGGACGTTGCACTCTTTGTGGGCCGCTTTTCGGCGATACAACTGTGACATTGACTCCAGCACATACAATGAATGTTCACACTCCAAGAGCTGTTCGAGGTGATGCGGACGACCACGTGCCGTGGCGATCCGGTGAGCGTTCAACAGCACCACCACCGACACGAGAAGAGGCTATTCACAGCACCAGTGCAAAAGCCCGCTCACTTCCACCAAAAGCCTGCCCTTCAGTACTTTCGAGGCCATCTTCATCTTCACGACCGCCGAAGGCGAGTGACGCCGTGGCATCTCGAAAGAGCAAACCAATGCCGAGCGCTGCCGTGACCTCGCCTGTGAGGCCGGTTCCGGATTTTGATGATGATGACAGCCATGAAGACGACATCAAGTTGGACGAACAAGAGGTTGGAGAAGAGATAGAAGAGGTTGAGGTTGAAGAGCCAGAGATTCCAGCGGAAGAAACTTCGAGCGGAAGCCAAGAGATTCTGCAAGCCCTCAAGAGGTTGACAGATGCCGTGACGACGCTTGCAAATCGCAATCCACGGTCTCGTAGCCC